AAAAAGAAAAAGAAAAATCCAATGTTTGGCCCAAGGCTCAGTACGTGGAACGCGTCCCTGGTGCCCTTCCTGAATGCTGAGTGTAGTGTTTAGAAGTCCAAGATGTTTGCTAACATGTTAACGTTGGTTCAGCTAGAATGGTGTATTGTAGGCCATTTTAATTTTTCTCTAAGTTTCTATTTTCTAAATATTATTGGATAAGCAATATTACAACTTGAGGGAGAAAAATGACATAAGACCGAAATGCACCCCTGCAGTTACCTGGCGAGAGGATGACAATGGCTGTGAGCAGGGCGTACTCTTCTTGGGTCATTTTCAATTCTCCGACACTTTTATAAAAACTAAACATGGGTGTGATGTATTCATCAGAGATACCTGTGCAGAAACATTGAAAAGTCGCAGGGTTAGAGTAAAATTGTCAAGTCACTGCAAAGTGTAAAACTGAAAACACATTACACATACGCACATACGCACACCTTCGGATGCACACCTTCAGCTAATGACTGCATATTACCTGCCTTGGCCAAAGACAGGTGCTGTAAAGGGAAACGGTTAACGAAATCCTCAAGACAGCCTGACCATGATGTATGTCTTTGGTTTCGGCAGGCGCTGTTTCAGCCACAACTGTCGGACAGTGAGTGATAACGCCCTTGAATCACCAGCCAGAGTTTTACCACCTTCGACATGGGGCTTTGTCCTTATATTAGCGTCTCTAATGGCATTTTATGTAACTAAAGAGTTGGTTTTCCATCCAGCAATATAAACAGCACTGTTTAATAAGTAGTCCAGGCTTTTCTTGTTTAATCAAAGGGTTCTAATGGCTAGCTGCTGTACCGTGCCTGCCGGCCCAGTTACCCTCCTAGGCCTCAGACTTGGCTCTTTCTCCAAATTCTGTGTGTTCAACATCAAAGATACTATGTACAGAATGAAACCCTCTTCTCTCTCCAAACCCACTCTTCCCTGTATCCCCTGCTCAGGGACTGGTGTCCTTATCCACCCACCTGTGCAGGCCTGACAACTGAGGCCAGGGGCCCAGCCTTGGGATTTTACCCCTCTCTTCTCCATGGTTCCTTGCACTGACAGTTTAAGCTCGAATCTCTTTCCATCTGGGGTTCCTGCCATCGCCTCCTCCCTGGTCTTCGTGCCTTTAGTCTGTTCCTGTTCAATCCATCCTCTAGTCAGACACCAAAATGGTCTTTCTAAACTTCAGGCAACCCCCACCCCACCCCATCCCAATGTGTAGACATCTTTAATAGCACTCCATACATTTTGGCATGAAGTTTTAATTTTCCTCCTTTTAAGTTGCCCCTGCCTGACTCACCACCCACGACGGTAGTGCATAGGAGTTTGTGTTTACTGAACACTCATTATGTATTAGGCCCTCTTTAAAGTACTTCTTACACTGCAATTACTTTTACCTTTCTAACACCCCACGTGTGCATACAGAGGTGCAGCACAGAACTTGCCGGAACAGAGAGCTAGTGAGAGGGAGGGCCTGACAGCCTTTGACTAAACTGCCCTTCTGTTGTGCGACCTCGTAGCCAGCAGCTCACAACTCCTGCACACGCGGTCTGTCCACTTGGAGTGTCCTGTTTTTCCTCCCCAATCCAGCTTACTCCTCTTCCTAAACTGAAGCCTTCTTCGTGTCACTTTCTCCTCGCACTGAGCCTGCTATGTGCATGGCACCACTGCAGAAGAACCTTTGGCTGGGGACCCAAGGAAGCAGAGGCCGGGGACGGGACTTGGGGATGAACTGGGGTGAGGATGGGCTTTCCACAATTGGTCAGGATGAAAACAGCCTGCTCTGTTCCCTCCCCAACCAGATCTAAAAGCAAACCAGAATTTTTCTTGATGCTTAAGAGTCTAATTATCAAGCTGGGCCCAGTAGCACACACCTGTCACCCTAGCATTCAGGAGGCTGAGGCAGGAGATTGCTAGCTTGAGGCCAGCCTGGGCTACACAGCAAGTTTAAGGCTACACCTTGGGTGCAAATCAAGGCCCTGTCTCAGAACAACTAAAACAAAGACTGGAAGTATCACCTAACTTTAAACTTAACTGAGAGAGAACTTATAAGAAATCTTGAATCTTCATCTTTAGAAGGATCTGAGAAATCTTCCCAAATGGAGCCCTTTCTCTTCTCTGTCAGCAGACCCCACTCTCTCCCCCTTGGACTTTAGCTTCTTTAGTTGACCCTAGTGGGCTTTCTGAACAATCGAGTCTTTGTTCAGGAATGTGGGGATGACGTCATCTGGAAGAGTGTCCTTTATCCAGCTGTCACCAAGCGAGCTAAGTCCATCTGACCAAATTGGATGCAGAGGATTGGAATATTTGAGTCTGGGGACACCAGTCCTGCCTTGCATGAAGCAGTGGTTAAGATTTTGGGATTTTGAGGCTATAATAAGTGACATAAGTCAAACATACAAAGTTACATATTGCATTATTCCCCTCATAAGCAAAATCCAAAATATGAATAAATTAAAGAAAAATGAATAAATTAAAGATTAAAAATAAAATAAGACTTCTGGGGGATGGGGAGGGGGCCAAGAAAAAGAGGAAGGGCAGAGGGCCCGGGGTGGGGATGGAAATGATGCCGAGAGGTTGCGTGTCCCCCCAAGTGAATGTCAACATCATGCATAGAAGACATATAGTAATCATTTTTTGAAAAGTGACTGTGAGCCATCGCTGAGTTTGAAATCTTTCTTCATGAACTGGCCTTGGCCATATTACTTGGTCTTTTTTTTGTTTGCTTGTTTGGCAGAACTGGGGATTGAACTCAGGCCCTTGCACTTGCCAGGGAAGTGCTTCTTCCACTGAGCCATCTCCCATCTCCTACTTAGTCTTTTTAAACTGTAATTTTTTCACCTGTGCTGTAAATTACATAACAGCATTAAATGCAGTAATATGAAGCGAGCCCCCCTAATAAATAAGACAGCTCATAATCATTATTCAGAGGGCTTGAACTAACAAATTAGTTCATTGTAATCTCAGTTCATTTTATCTTAGATTAACTCTGTATGCTTTTGTCTCTATAAAGTTATTTTGAATTTATTTGTTTGTTTATTTGGTACAGTGTTTGCTAAGCAACTCAGACTCTGAGTGATCCTCCCATCTCAGCCTCCCCAGTGCTGGGGTTACAGGCGTGCGCCACCATGCCAGGTTTCAGTGGCCGGCTCAGTGCAGGGCCAGCATGACTGACGCAGTACTGGGAATCAAACCCTGGTCCTAGCGCTTGCCAGGCGAGTGCTTAGACCACCGAGCTATCTTCTCAGCCCCTTGATTTTATTATTTTTCTAAAGCACATTCTGCATGGTGCAGGAGACAAACATAAATTAACTGGTCAGCAATTTGCCTCAGCATTTTTTCTAGATATTAACAGTAAGCTAAGATCTCTATTCTCTTGAAGAGCTTTCTGTTTTGCTTTCAAATCTTTAGGCTTCCTTCAGACAATCAGTTGTGTAAGGAAACCAATGCCTTCTACAGTCAGTTTCAGTTACCTAAAATAGTAATTCAAGGCTGTGCCATAACTTTAAATAGTACCTGAGGTTTGGAGAAAGTATTCGAAGCAGCTGATCTGAAGCTGTTCAATGATCTTTAATTCCTTAATTTCCAACTTCACTTGTGTTTCTAAATCCCCAGTTGTCCTTCAGAAAGATTACTTCCATTAGCTTGTTTATTGTAGTTGATAATGTTTACAAAACATTAGGTTAAGATGTTCGTATGACTTTCATCTTGTGCATGTTATATAAGCCAGGAGTAAATACAGAGAAATGTAAAAAGTATGTAATAGAAACTTTTCAAAAGCAGTTTTCCTATAGAAGAAATCGCATGTAACTATGCCTTGGGAATCAGAGCCAGCAGTCATAATCAGACCCAGCAGGGGAGCAACCCAGAATTCGAGAAGTGTAACAACAACACCATCCTGAAGGGGGCAGGCTTTTCCTGTTTTCCGCTTCGTCTCTGTTCCGACACGCTCGGTTAACATTTGCTTAGCACCAATTAGCTGAGTTTTGGTCACAAGAGGGGGCTATTTTCTAACTCAACTATAAAGACGGTCAGGGAAATTTGGACTCGTTAAAAACAACTTTAGAAAAAGATAAGAAAAAGAAAAACCTTGTAAGTTTCTGTTCTGCTCCTGTTTATTTCTTTCCCTTGTTTAAAGAGACCTGCGGTTGATGAATTCATTATTGAATGGTCATAGTTTCTCACAGAATGACCATCTGATAGAATCAACGGGATCCTCTTTTAGTTTGTCTTAAACGTCTTTCCTTAAATTCATGTCTTTAATTAGAAACAAAAATAAGGCAGAGCTTTATTAATACGTGTGTGTATTGTGTACAAGGATGCGTATCATACAAGGCACGTTTCCTGATGCTTTGACTATTTCTATAGTATTTATTGTAACAGACAGTCCCCAGATAGAGGATCTTGTTTAAAATGACACAGTCTAGAAATGACACCATTCCGCGGCACAGAGGTTAAGTAGAAGCCCCTGACCTGGCCTGCACGAGGCCGCATCCGCTTCGGGCTCTGCCTTTACACTGGGCTCTGCACCCCAACAGTTTCCTGTGAAGCAATGGTACCCACGCTTCCAGGATCCTGAAGCTCACGAGGTTGCAGTTTACTGACCCCACCCCGCCCACACCGGCTGCCTGCAGGGTCCAGGCCCAGGTGCAGCCGCTGTTGCTGATGCCCTAATTGGTCTGGGTCGGGGTAGTCAGGGACCCAGCGTGCTTCTAGCGAAGGAGATTGAAAGGGGGCTACCGGAAGCTCTAACAGGTTTCCAGGCTGGGACTAGGGGAAGCCATCACCTCCCCCCTGGTCTCCTTTGGTCAAGGTCACATGAGGAGGCAACACCTGCAGTGGTTGAGGCCATTGGGAGGCCCACCAGAGGACTCTCAGGATAAAAATCACTGCACCAAGGACAGCAGAGCACAGAGATGAGGGTGAGGGTGACGGGGCTGCTGATGGTTGCTGAGCCCTGAATGAAACAATTCTGGGCCATCTGTCCTCTGGGGTTCTGGGTCTGAGCTCTCGCCTCTCTTTATTTCTGAAAGCTATGTTGACTTATCGTCTCTGTTATTGTCAGCCAAGAACTTTTTTTTTTTTTTTTTTTTTTTTTTTTTTTGTGGTGGTACCAGGGATCGAACTCGGGACCTTGCACTTGCCAGGCAAGCACTTATTCCACTGAGCTATCTCCCCAGCCCCCACCCAAGAACATTCTGACAGCTTCCCTCCTGAGATACACTGTCTCACATCTGGGTTCTTCTTCCCTCCATACAATGCAGGAATCTTACTAGTGGAAGGCCAGTTCCAAGGCCGAGTTTAAATTTTTCTTTTCTTTGGTTCCTGCCCTGTCACAGTGAAGCAGAATTAGC